AATTTAAAGCCTCTAAGAGACATGGATTAAGTTATCTTCCACTTCACTAAACATCTCTTAAAAGAACCTATCGAAGGCTGAAAATTCAGGCAATTAATTGACTGAAGTATATGATTTGCCTGACTTGTTTTCACTGAGGCTTGTTGAGTTTTGGAGTGAATTTCCCTAAATATCCTAATTGTTTCTACTTTGAATAACGTGTGTTTATACTAATACTTGCACTTCTTTTTAAACTAACACAAAGAGTAGACCAAAACTTTGGACTGGATTCCACCCACGAAGTGGGAAAAGAGCATCTACCTTTCTTTTATCATTGAAACTCAGGTTAAATGATCACCATCCATTGGAATTTCTTCATAATTAAGTCATTGCCTTTGTGTGTGTACTTTCAAATATATCTATATTCAGGCACTTATCACATTCCCTTGGAATTATTTGTGTACATATCCATCTGCCTCACCAGACCATGGACAGTGGCTTCTCATCCTTGGACATGAGAAGTGTCCCATGACTAATGACAGATGGAAGGCCAGCCATATGGCTAATGCATTCTGATGGGCATGAAGAAGAGAGCACACAAAATCACGTAGCCGCCTGATAGTATATGACACGTCCCCTATAACAACTCCCCCACTTCTATTATATCTCCTAAACTCAGCAATACAGATACTTATAATTTTCTGAACATACCAGGTGATTTCATGCAGCTCTCTGTCTTTAAATTTTCTAATTCACACACACCCTCACTTTGGGAAGCAGACTGGCAAAACCAAGCCTTCTTTCAAGTCTCAGTTCATGTATCATTCTCTTCCCCAAGAAAGTCTGACATCACTCTCCATTGCCCCTCTTTCCAAAGTTCCAGAGATGATATTATTTGACTGAATGTCTCTCCTCTGTGCTCCCAAAGTAATTGTTTCTTTTAACTGACCAGTTTAATCTATGCTCTCAGTTTCTTCTGGAAGAGATAATGGCTGGTGCCCACAGCATACTGAATGCTCTTTGACAATAGAGTGCACTGGAATGCCCACATACTTCTGTACTCCCCTCCCTAAGCTGGGTGCTCACCAGGATCCATTGCGTTGGTTCCCAAAGCTATGTATGCCAGTTGTGCCTGTTACTGTAAATAAGTCATTTAGTAGATGTGACTTAAGTAAATAGTATACGAGTGGGAAAAAAAAGAGTTGTGTTTTCTGTGAAAACAAATGGGTCCTTTGGAAAGATAAGCTGCTAAAAACTGTACTGGTGAATTAGGTATAGGCGAGAGAACAGACAAAGATGGGGAAGGGGTTTGTAAAAATCTTGGAATCTCCTCTCAGATTATTTAAGTGCTCTTGATTTTTAACTCCACCTTATAAAATCCCAAACTGGAAATTGTTGAAGACACCTTATGAGTGATTTTTGGAACTCCCACCAGCATACCCATACCACAATAGGAGCCCTTAGCCCTACATCAAAGATTAGTGAAGTGCATGTGTTTTACATCAAAATAAAATGTCATTTCCCCCTGTCCAAGTCATGTATTGAGTTGAAATGATTGGGGTCAGGATGGGGGAACACTGTCTGTCTCCTTCCCTAGATAGTGAGTTCCTTGAAGACAGGAACCCCATCTTGCTGGTCTTGGTAGTACCTGTGCTTGGGAAGAGTGGATCCTAGCCCACTTTCTGTGCAGCCAAAGTTGAGAACCACTGTAAGGGCTTCTTGACCCAAGGGAACTGATGAACTTATTTTTGTACAGCGGGTTTCAATCATTAGGTCCCGGTGCATCATAGCCACTAGGGGGCAATGTAGCTGCATTTCTTTGGAATGATCATGGAGGGGCAGTGCCTCCTAGCTTGTCCCCTAAAATGTGATGAGTTCCCCCACCCCCACCCCCAAATGTGTTGGAGAACCTATGGCATAAATGTCTCACCAGCACTGGCATTCTTTATATATGTGTTTCCCTTGCTTATTTGGGTGAGCTGACTTATGCCATCTTTTCTAAACAAAAAGGACAAAGTCATAATCACCACCTCATTAAGTTAATTATTAAAGCCCATTGAGTTCCTGGAAGGAAGAACAAAAAACAAAAACCTCATGCAAATGTTATGACTAGTTTCAAGGATTATGAGTTAAATGTTGTGAGTAGTCTCAAGGATTATGAGTTGGTACAATCGGGTAGGCCGCAGTGTTTTACAGTGGAGTCTGGGAGGGAACATTACTGAGAAAGTTATGCAGAGTGTGTCCATGTGAAAGGACAAGCCCAACCCTTCCTCCTTTCTCCTGAATGAGTCTTCTCTCACTTCTGATGTTCTGGAATCATAGACTCCAAAAATTAAGCTGCTAGTTGCTCATATGGTTTCAGAAGGAATGTCCTCTCCTAAGGTAGTGAGATGAAAAAGATTTCAAGACAATCCCTTTAAGAGAAAAACCGTGGGATGGTAAGAAAAAAAAAAGTGAATATTTTGCCTCTTAGTAAGTTGCCATTGTTGCATTACAACTAAACTGAGGATGTGTGATGCTAAAGGATCTTAAACAACCTGCAGCTTAGGCCCAACGGAGCTCAGGCCTCCTATTTCACAAGTCTTTGGAAGCAGTAAAATAATATCTGTTCGAAAGTACTATTTGAGAATTAATCAAACCTAAAACAAGGTAACTTACAATTATCATGGGTCTTGAAGTAGTTGACCTAAAGGCTGTGGTGCTATGCACAGAGCATTTGGGGTTTATGTCTCAACTCTGCCCAACTAGACACTAAGTTCAGATTCCCCCCCTTCTCTCAGCACCCCAGGTTACATTGCCCACCTATAAATTACAGGGGAGTAGCCCTAGGAATTTACCTTTAACTTCCTTCTGTTTCAAGAATATGGGTTTGCCTTTAACTTTCTTCTGTTTCAGGAGCATGGGGTTTTTTACAGGCAATGTGAAAAAAATATACGACAGTTATGCAAATTACTATTTCTCCATCGGTACTTAATTTACCTTTTCTCCTAGGGCAGGATCTGGCAGGGTTCAAGACATGGTTGGAACTGATACAAAAGTTTTTTTCTCCAATGAAATTACAATGGGATATTACTGTTTAAATCACATGAGTTCAAAATGTACTCGTTTGTGTCCAATACAGAAACTCAAACCCAGTATTTGCCCTCTAGCAGTTGAAGGGAGTGGTGGCAGCTTACTCAAAATGAGTAAGAACATAAATATACTGACATTTTGACACTGTGAAAACATGTAGGCTGCCTTTTAAGTTTTTGACTCCTGATTTATGTCTCTTCCCCATCTTCCCATGGAGAAGGGCAGTCAGTGAACACTCAGATCTTCAGGTGTCTGTCTGGAGAGCTGGCCGTCTTCCAGAAATACAATTAGGTATGAAAGAAAAGTTCCATCCCTCACCCCTTTAGAGTAAACTTCTCCAGTCCTCTCACAGAAGGACGGCCAAAGTTGGAATGAGCCGCGTGGCTCTTGTGTAGCTTCATGGTCCTTTCCCCAGCTGTCCTATTCTGTTTGTGGCATTATGCAAGGAGTTAGGATGCAAAGGGGTTAGGATACCCAGTGATTGTCCTCAAGGTGCCCGTCACTAATCACAGCTCCTCTCCTCCTTACCTCAGCTTGTCCCCACATTTGGGCTCTTTAGTAGAGTTGCTTCATGCTGTCCTCTGATAAAACCTTGGAGCCCTGGGGTCTAGCCTTAAGCCTTCTCACCTTGGACATCCTTCTGCTCTTTCCCACAGGGTCCAAACACACAGAAACACTATAGGAATACTAGTATGGTGGAGCGGGGGGTGGGGGTGGGGGATGTGGACTGAAACGAGTCCCTGCGCTACCATTGGCCATCTTCTGGGGCTGGCCTCCTTACTTGACTTTGTGAGAAGGAGCAGGGCGTCAGCCGGCCCGTGTGTACCACTGGAAAATGTGAGCTCCAAAGGAGTGCATGCATGTAACCCCCTTAGCACCACGCCTGGCACTTAATGCACGGGCAAGCAACGCGACTAAATGATGTTATCATCATCGTAGGTGATGATACGGGCGTAGAGAACCTGGGCTGCCCAGGCCGACAGCTCGGCTTTGAATCCCCTCACTTGGAATATCACCTCGAGAAAGTCTGAAAGCCTCAACCGCTTCATTTGTAAAATGAGGAGGATGTAGGGCGCAATGCCTGGTGCGGGGGCGCCTGAGACTGAGGCGGAGCTCAGCAGAGTGAGGATCAGTGAAGCTGGCCGTCGCTGCTAGAACTGCGAGTGACGGGTGACGGCGAGCTGGGCGTCCGTGCCCCCGAGGCCCATGCCCACGAGTCCGGCGGGTTCAAGCATCCTTGTCCTTAACCAAATGAGCTCTGGGTCCCAGAGGCAGGAAGACTTCCTGGAAGAGGCGCGGGGGTGGGGTGGGGGGGCGGGGGGTGGGGGGAGTGGGGAGCTGAGGGGGTGGGGGCGGGGGGTGGGGGGTGCCCTGGGACCAGCTGGGAGTGGGAAAGGAAAGGCCGAACTTGACCCCGGGCTCCGCGCCCGGCCTGTGGGTCTGCCCCTCGGGCTGCCAGGTCCTGCTTCGGACCCGAGCTGGCCCCGCCGCTCCCGCGAGCAGGGAGCCCGGGCCCGACCCCGCCCAGGCGGCGGTCGGTCCTTTGGCTTGGCGCTGCGGGGGAGCCGAGGGAAGAAGAGGAGTGGGGGGGGGAGGGGAAAAAGGAGGAGGGGCCTTGGAAAAGGGAAAGGGGGACGTGTCTGCCGATCCTTTATAAACCCCCCCCCCCCCGGGGAGGGCGGGAAAGGAGGGGCGCCGCCACCCCCCACCGCCACCCGTTTCTTCTTTTTTTTTCCTCTCAAAGGAAAGGGGTTACGAGGCCAGGGGCGGCCGCGCCCCCCCAAAAAAATTTTTGGGGGGGAAAAAAAAAAGAC